TACTTTTCATTACCAATCAAAATTTAAACCAATGCGCATTACATTAGAGTATTTTTTGTTATCATGTGGAACTGAATATCAACAAATTGTTTTTAAACTGTAAAATTTCAACTGTTGGGATGTCTATTTCAAACCAGATGAAGGGTTTTTTACTTTTGCCTGATGCCTAAATTAGAATAAAAAATGTGACAAAAAGATCACCTGGTCAAGGTTTTTTGGGGCTAGCATTAAATCTTTCCTTCAAAAGATCACCCAGGGCTTCGGTATTTAAGTAATATGGTATTCATAAAAAATAATATATTCCAGATTGTTCTTTTTACACGCTAATCATCATTCTTGTTCTTGGTTACAGGACGGTAGTTTAGAAAGATTGGCTAAGGAATCTGAATTACTTCGTCAGGCATATGGACACTACTTTGATCTGACTATCGTTAATAATGATATTGAAGAGACCATAAAAACTTTAGAAAATGCAATAGATGAAATCTGTACCACACCACAGTGGGTTCCTGTCAGCTGGGTTTATTAGAAACCTAACTATTCCACACTGTTGTATATGTTTTCTTTCTTCATATATATCACTATTGGTTATATATATTGTTTCCTGTTTCCTCTGTTAGGTTTGCAACATGTCACATGTTTGATCACCATCAACATTTAAAAAAAAATCAAATCCTGTGAGCTATGTCCAATTCTGCAAGCTTTGTCCATTATTGAAGAACTTTACAGAAAAATTGTAATAACAAATTGTAAATCATTTAATATATCATTCTAACAGAGGAAATAATAGTAGATTAATTTTGTAGCTAGTCTACCTAAAATATCTTACCTGCTTTAATTGTAAAATAAATCCTATTCTGGTTAATTTCATCTATGCAGCTATAAACAGGTCTGGTGATTTTAGTTTTATCAAAATAATTCTATTGGCTTCCAATCACATTCCAAGAGACATGATAATCACATTATAACATATTGAAGAATTTCTACCCTTGTAGATGATGTATATTGTCTAGACAAATTTTGCTTTTAATTCATCTAATCATGGAGAAAGAAAAAAAAACATTTTCAATGGATAATAAGTGTGTTGTGACTGGTTTTCCTTTTAGCTTGCCAGACAGTTTTGCCAGTATGTTCACTTCACCAACCTAAATTGCAAAGACTTTGTTTCGTGTACGTTTGCTTTGAATGTGATTTTATTTCCTACAGATACCAACTCAGTAGATGAATATTATTGATACTGTATTGCTATACCAATTATATTCTAGTTGGTTCTTACATTAGGATTTACAGTCTTATTTCAAATTAGCATTTGTTACCAAACTATATAATATATAAAGTAAATAATTATGTATATATAGTAGCACCATTAATGATGCTAAATATCTCTCTTCTTTTTAATATTTCTGTTTATGATTACAAAGAAACTTGACAGGTTTAGCTCATCAGACATTGATGTTTGTATTAATCTACAAGACCCATCATACTTTCCAGGAGAATCACTATTCATGTGATGTTGTGGGCAAGGTATGTGCTCATCTGGAAG